CTCAGCTTGTGGTTAACCAAGTTTCAGGGATTTATGAAGCGAAGGACGACAGGATGGCGAAGTACCAAGCTCTGGTCAGGGACCATATCAAGCAGTTTGAGGCAATCAGAGTCCAGGGCGAGAAGGCCGACCAAAGGAGGAGCCCGGGCTAGGCTTTGCCGAGATGCCGCCTAGCCCGGTCCTCCGTTTGTTTATCCGGTTAGGCGCTTAAGGTATGAAGCATGGTACGACCGAGGTAGGGCAGCTCGGCTGCCGAGCTCCAGCTATGCTGACAGGCAGTTGAGAGCAGGTGATGAATGGCATGGTTTATGCTGACAGATGGGATAGCAGAGCCACGTGTCAGGAGATGACAGGGAGTGGATATGGGGCTCAGAAGGTATATAAGCATGTCTGCGCCCCCCATACGCGGGACACGAACACTCTGTAAGGAATTTCTTACACTCAAACACTCTCTCCCTTCTCTCTATCCATCCTAAGGTGTGTGCTAACTTGATCGTCGGAGGGTTTTTCCGGCCACACACTGCCGGGTAGCTCACCGTTACTTGCTCGCAGGTGATCGGACATCGACGGAGCTCGGAAGAAAGGAGTACGGGCTTGCCGGAATATTTGCTCCCCGTACAGTTACATTAATATGAAACTATTTTTTTATTTTTGAGGACATTATGGCCTTGTTTGGTTTCGTTTTGAGAGATAAATTTTTTTAAAAAAATTTGTGGAAAAAGTTTAGAAATTTTTTTAGTTTTATATTTTAGAAATAGTTTTAGAATATGAAAGCTTTGGATAATTTGATATTTTGTTGTAGTTGAGTGGGTATTTATAAGAGAAAAAAAATGATTAAAAAAGAGAGAATAGATAAAAAATTATTTTGAAATTTTTTTCTAAAATTACTAAGTCAAATAAAATTTTAAAAAATTTTCGCTAAAATTTGTTTTTCAAAACCAAATCAAACAGGACAAGGGGTGCCTGCTGTGCTTAAGCACAGCAGGGTGTGCTGTGCATGCAACACACACCAATAAAAAAAAAAAACAAAGGAAAAATTATATTAAAAAACAAAAAGAAAGCAAAACCATGGGTTGAAATGGCACAACAGTGCCTGCTGTACAGCAGGCACCCCTTTTCCAATCAAACAAGGCATATATCTAACCAATTACTGTCCTAATTAATTAATACAATAGAAGGAATCCCTCCAACCAAAATAACCATTGATTATTTGAGCTTCCATCAGTCACGCGAGGTGAGGTGGGCGCGATACAGAAAGAGCAAGGATCCTCTAGAGTGATTTTTTCCTAAAATTTCTTAGAGTGTTACATTGTGTGGTTGAGATTTATTGGCAAGTCACATCAATTTTTCTGATGTGACTTGCCAGTAAATCTGAACCACACAATGTAGTACTCTAGGAAACTTTAGAGAAATTTCACTCTAGAGGATCCTTGGTGATACAGAAAATCATTAGAGATAAGACATTAAAAGCGGCCTTCTTGATTTGGGCCAAGAGTTTGACTATCTCCATTGATTTTCTTGTGGGCCAATTCCCACTTTTATTTATTTATTTATTATTATTATTATTATTTTATATTGTTTATTTTCATGTTTGTTGAATTTAGGCTTACTTTAAAAATTCAAATTTTTAATCAAAACGTTAAAAGTAAATACGAAAAAATTAATTATTCTTTTTATTTTTTAACACGTTTATTTATTAAAAAATTTAAAAAATTATTAAAAAGTCAATTCTTAAATCAACTCTTATTATGTGTTGTGTAAACTTTTGTTAAATTTTTTAGGTTAAACTATGCTGATATTCCCTAAGATTAACAAAAAAAATAGAGCAAATTTTATAATTTTGAATTACATTAGGTTTTTATAAGATTTTAATTCACATCATATTTTATTTTATTTTCATCAATATCTTTGGTCATATTGATGAAAAAATGATATTGCCATCTATTTTTCATTGAAATGTTTTTTTTCTTAATTATTATTGTGTTTTAAAATGATCTGCATTAATTTTGATCATTTTCACCATATTAAAAAGAAAATCGATATAATTATGTAAAAATTGTGATTTTTTTTCTCTCTCCAAATTTTAAGAGAGACTAGTGACATTTATCCAATTTCTTATGTAGGTTAATATTATTAGTATGATGTAATTCATTGATATTTGAGAGCGATAAAATTATAATATTGATCTTTTTAATTTAAGAGAAATTCTACTTTAGTATTTATAATTTTTTAATTAATTTAAATTATATTTTAAATTTTGTTTTAATATGTACCCTCCTCCGTCAATTATTATTAACAATTTGGATGGAAAATAACACAAAATTCGATATAATTTATTAGTTTTGTTTTCTTATGTGGAAAGTTCTCAAGTGAGTTTACATTATATTCTTTTATTCATTATATTCTTTTATTCAAAATGGTTACCAACGGCTTACAAAGGATCACATTATTCACATTAAAACACAAATGGAAATATTGAGTTTAAATTTATGGGTATGTTTTAGAGTCAAGTATTAGTGTCAGATTTCAGAATACTTTTGATCTCATATTTCTACAATTTATATTGTATGACTTTGTCATTTATAAATGTAGATAAATTCGTATTGAACCATATAAATCTGTGTTTAATTCAATGATATCTGGAATAATAGCAACAAAGTTCGTATTGAACCATACCAATCTGTGTTTAATTCAAGGATATCTGGAATAATAGCAACAAACATTGAATGATTTCACACTAATAACATGAAATATGAATCTTGGTTGAGAAACAAAAAAAAAAATGGGAAAAGGGACAGAGAGTGTTGAAAATGTTCATATGTTAACATGCATTTCTGTTTTCATTTTCATGGCCTTGTTGATCCATCATAACTTGCTCATTAGCCACAGCTTCACCTTTGTGATCTGTCATCTGAGCGTTCATTGCTGCTCCTTGTGGTGTGCCATTAATTGACCCTGTCAAACAAGGAAAGCATACATCTCAAAATGTTTTAAAAAACTAGAAGCCCTTAAAGAAGGATCAAATTTTAATGAAGACAAAAAAAAAAAAAAAAAAAAAAAAAAAAAAAAAAAAAAAAAAAAAAAAAAAGAAAAAAAAAAAAAAAAATTTTTTTGTTAAAAAAAGAAAAGAAAAGAAAGAAAGAAAAGAAAAGAAAAGAGAAAAAAAAATTTTTGTTGTCTTTAGTATTTTTTCCCCCAAATTTGATCATGTTTTTGAATTTTTTAGGGCATTTTAGAAGTGTTTTGAAAATTGACTTTTTTTTGGTAGTTTTTAATTTTTTACAAAAAGACAAGTAACAAAATAGAGAGAATAGTTGATTTTTTGTTGTAATTTTTTGAAATTTAAGTAAAATGTTGCCTTCCCAAAATATTTTTAAAAAATTACTAAAGATTTAAAAAAAAAAAAAACTAATCTCACAAAACATAACACAACTCAGTCATAAAGTAGATCTTTACGAATTTAAAACCACATTATTATTTGAAACGAATGTGAACTCACATATATAACTCAAGCGGATATGGTAGGCAATGCGAAAGCATCATTATTCAAACTTTGGAAGTTGATAATTTTTATTTTTATTTTTTGAAAGTTTAAGTCCCAAACTATTATATATAAACATGACTTTTATAAATGAAAACCAGCTATCAATATACTAAATATATTTTATTACTTTATTTTTTATTTAACCTTGTTAGATTTACATGACAAGTATTTTAAGAACCCACTTTATTGTGAATCCCACAAACATAAAGAAATCAAATAAAAAAAAATTAACATCCACTTTATCATATGCCAAATTTGATATATAGGAGATGGTTCTTAGGTGGGAAATTATTGTTGAAGTGTCAATTTTTGCCCTTTAGGTGTCAAGTAAGATATAAAATATCAGTTCAAAATGCCTCACAATCAAATTACTTAACACACAACCTTCCATATTTTGTGTTTGGGACCGACTATGTTAAAAATTAAATACTAAGAGCATCCACATGTTAGCTATTGTGGTTTTAGGACAAAATTTGCTTAGTAAGGTGCAAAATCATTCCTCCATTAGTCTCGTTACACCAAGATTAAATTTGGCATTGTTATAGTAAATCGCTACATATAGCGATATATTGTTCAAAAGTTATACCATATTTTATCATTTATTCTTAAGAATGACCAGACATTATGTCGGACAAGCGACTACTACACCATTTTTTTCTTTTGGAATATGAAACATAATATTTTATCATTTATTACCGGATATCTGGCTGGTTATCCAGCCGGACATCCTGCTAGATGACCGATTGTGCACCATTATATATTTATTTATTTATTTATTTATTTTGAAGAATATGACAAAAATCTTCTAGAAGCTGTTTGAGCAGGGTTGTTTGTATAATCTAGCAAATCATAAAAATGAATATTTTAGAAAATTAAATTTTAAAATAAAGAGTCTGATAAAGGTGTACATATAAAAAATATTAGATAAAATAAAAAAATAAAATTTTAATTATAATTTAGCTCAAAATTTATTGAACCTGTGAATGTTCTAATAAATGGAGTAATTTTCAAGATATATAGCTATTTTAATTGTATACTGCAAAGTCACTGGCCTAATCCAATGAAGTACTAAAAGACAAGTATGGTCCATTTCATTGATTTATTTATTTATTTTTATTTTTTTTCAAAAAGATACTTTATTCATAGATATGATGAGAATTGTGAGTTACTAACCTGCGCCAAGTATGGCCACAGCTGCTGATTTACGCTTATGGTGCAATATAGCAACAATTCCCACAATAACCCAGAAAACAAGGAATATTGAAATTGAGGCTCCAAGAATTGCTGGTAGCTTGCTGCTACTCCCATTATTGCTTGTGCTTGAATATGAGGGGGTTTGTGGAGTACTATTAGGCTTATTATTTGTATTTGTTGTCTGGCATGAATTGTCAGATGCACACAAATTAGTGTTGCCTGATACCCTGTAAAATATAAATGAAATCAGAAAAAACATGCAGTGAAAGTTAGATATCACGGAAAATTAAAGTCAATCCATCTATATAAGGGTTTTTGATTGTCTCGACCTAAATCGAATAATTTGCTCAACAAGATTGCAACACGTTGACATTAATGGCATAAGAAAGACGCATATTTGTCCACACACTATTGGCAGAATATACACTGACCTATTAGTAAAGACCTAATATTGAATTTTGCGAGTGTGTGGGGAAATTTGGATTTTCTATTTGTCATTGATGCTGATATGTTGCAATCTTGTTACTTGAAATGTTTGCTCCACTTGAAAACTGAGCAAGAGACAAGTCAATTTCATTACTAGTATTGAACAATATGATCAACAAGATTGCGACACGTCAATATTAATGACATATGAAAAGTGAATATTTATCTTTGCACTAATGTCAAAGCATGCTCTAACTTGTCTGTAAGGGTCCGTTTGTTTTCCGAGATCCACCCCTGGGCTGGACTAACAGTGAACTCCTCCTCACTAAGTTCATCATTGTTTTCTTTTTTGACCCACAGGGTCACAGTCCCAACGGACTCTAAATCCCTCCAACGAGCGGATTAGCATAGGCCCAGGGGACTTGGTATTAAAGATGAAGCCGTTGGTATTACAATGTGAAAGACAATTTTGCCCACAACAAGATTTAGCCACATCAACGGTATTTCATAGTTTCCAAAATTGAAATTTGCAAGAAAGAAGCTCTGCTGATGGATAATGGATGAAACTTTGCAATAATTGAAATTTGACGGTAATGATTGGCGTTGGCGTTTGTGTCATTGTTGACGGTGATGATTGTGGCATATGTCTCGAAGAGAGCTATGTTGATGGATGGATGAAGGCAAAGCAACATTTAATTGAATAGGAAAATGCCCAGACTCTCAGTGGGGGTGACCCTCACCACCCCTACTAGTTTTTGATTGGCTCAAATTTATTTTTTTATTTTATTTTTATTTTTTTTTCCAGTCTTGCTCTCACAGCAAGACACGTGGAGCTAGGGGGGTGCTGGGGTCCCAGCACGGTTGAATTGAACAATGGGTGGATGGATGGATGAAGGCAAAGCAATACACTGTTTTAAAACCATGGATTGGTTTTGGAAAACCATGGGCTGATTTGTTTTTGTTTTTTTTCATTCTCTCATTATTTCATAATTATGTTCATAAAAATAATTTAATATAATAATATCTTTATAAAACATAATTTTTAATATTAAAATATATCACAAATAAATGCAATTTTTCATAACCCACTATCAATTCCCAAATTTGATAAAAATATGACAAGGGTATTTGTGAAATTTTACATGTTAATCCTACTCCTGTCTCTCAAAACAAACAACAATTATTGCCAGTCCATTGGTTATCAAACAAACACAAATTTTCTTATCAGTCCCCTCATTAATAGTCTCCTCACTAATGATCCCCTCATTGATAATCCCACTCAATCTGTCTCTGAAAATAAATAGGCCCTAAAGACCTAAATATTGAGTTATATGAGTGCTTGGACAAATTTAGACTTTTTGTTAGGCATTAATATTGAACAACATGCTCAATAAGATTTCGACTCGTCGATATTAATGGCATATGAAAGATACATATTTGTCCAAACACTAATGGAAAAACACATTCTAGCGTGTCTTTACATACCTAATATTGAGTTGTGTGAGTGCATGAACAAATTTAGATTTTCTATTTGGCATTAAAGCTAATGTGTTGCAATTTTATTACTCAAACTGTTTGGTTTAGTTGAAAACCGAATAAGAAACTAACCAAATTCCAACCAGAAACAAGCCATATCCTAATGAGGAATAGCACATTCTAGTCCAAAAATTTAACCACCAACATAGATGAAAGTCAAGTTATTAGTAAGCTTACACTATTGTTAAGTTGTTATTTTTTAATATTGAAGCTGGTAATTTTCCCTGGAAATCATTGTTTGCCAAGTTCCTGAAGAAAAAAAGAAAAAGAAAAAGAGAAAAGAAAATAAAATTGTTGGTTAAATCTGATCAGAATGCAAAGTAACATGTAAAAGGCAGTGCTTGAATTTAAAGTTTAAACTCACAATTCTTGTAGATTTGGTAAGGTGCCAAGGAAATCAGGAACAGGTCCATTCAACAAGTTATAACTGAAATCTCTGCAATTAAAATAAAATAAGGAAACAGATAATGATAAATAAGAACAAAATCAAATTGGAATATCTGTCTGTTCCAAGCAAAATAAGAATTAAAAAAAATAAAAAATAAATTACATTGTCTGAAGAGCATCCATGGAACTAAAATCAGGTAATGATCCCACCAGACCATAGCTTCCAAGGTCCCTGCATTTTATTATACTGTTTTTTGTCAGCTTATAGAAAATAGAAAATATGTTTTTCATTTTTTTATTGACAAATAAACATCCTTGGGACACATATTTTGAAAACAAACAAACCAGACACAAAAAAAAGAAAAGAAAGAAAGAAAAAGAAAACATGTGCGTTAATTACATTTACTATTTTTACACTTTCATCAAAATCTCACTTTCGCCACTAATTTTCAATTGTGCTAATATTTTTGGCAGAAGTAATTATTTAAGAGACTTTCGTGGCATTGATGAAAGGGGTGAAAATAATGGACTTGGCGTCACTTTAGTGAGGAATGCACAACAGTGTTGTGCAGCTTATGACATATCTATTTTCATAATTTGAATCATTTATTCTAAAATAAAAATATCAAGTATAGCATATTTGTAAAAAAATCCAATTAATTGGATTTCGATAGTTCTTTATCAAATTACATTTGTATATATGAGAGAAAATGAATATGTAAGTATCAAATTAAATACAAATGTATTTATAAAAGGGATTGATACTTAATCAATTTAATTTTTTACAATTACGTTATACGTGATATTTCTTAAAAATTAAACATTTCAAATTATCAAAATAAAACTTAAAATAAATATCATAAACGTGCAATAGTGACTGTTATGCATTAAAGTGACCCCAAATCCTAAAAAATAAAATAAAAAAATGCTCACTTTGCTCTCAAAATCTCACATAACTATTTATTTAATTATTATTTTTTTTTATAAAAAAAGTGGAAGAAGTAATTAATTGAATGGCAAAAGAAAGAAAAGATATACAGTGAAGTTACACGGGGTGTTGTTGGGTCAGAAGTACACTGGATCCAAAGCCACGTAATCAACCCAAGGCAGGGGTCGCCGGTCCATGATTGTAATAAACTGAATTGGCTTTGCAGTGCGGCCAATCCTTTCACTACAAATAAATTATCAATTAAATTCACATAAAATAAAGAAGGAAAAATTACAAGAAAAACCCTAGAGTTTTACTTTTTTAACAAAATAAATTTTGAATTTTGTCAATTTAAATTCAAAATTTTTGATTTGCTTTCAATTGATCTGACCATTTACTTATTTTTGTTAAGTAAAATCAACAGAAAAATAAATATTTTAGTCATTAAATTCAATTAAAATGAATATTTTAGACATTTTATATATATATACATTGAGTTTAATAACTAAAATTTTATTTTTTTCATCGGTTTTAGTTAATGAATATAAACAAATGGTTATATTGAAAGCAAATCAAAAGATTATGATTTAAATTGACAAAATTAAAGTTCGGGATTTATTTTATTATAAGGGTAAAACCCTGTTTTTTTTTTTGTTTTGTTATTGTAATTATCCCATTATATTAAAAATATATACATATAAATCAGGCTAATTAATCATAAATAAATAAAAGAGTTTATGAAGGGAAAAAAAGAAAAGAAAAAAGAATATGGAGTTATCAGATACACTACCATCATTGGGGTTGGTTCCTTGCATAACAGCATGGCTTACATGCGAGACTTTCTTAGCATTGATGGCAGGTGTGAAAATTGAACCTGTTGAGAGATTTGCACCATTGAAGATATCAGTAGTAGTCACACACAAAAATAGGGAAAAATATGTATATATATATAAAATTTATTAGCACATTGACATAGATATATTGGAATTTATCATTTTAAATAAAAATGTCTATTTAAATTACATTTAATTACAAAAACTCTACTTTCATATTGTTTTGGTGATAAATTCCATATAAATAGTATTTTCTAAAAATCAGTAATGGAAATTCCTAAGAGATTAGGTGAGTGACAAGTTGAGTCACGATAAAATTTCAAAATGTGTAAGTCAAGAGACTAGATCCCATGAAATGCATTACTCTCTTGGGGGCTATTCTCATAACTTGTTACCTGATATGTGTGAGATAAGTGACAGCATATAAAAAAAATTAGTTGAGAAAAAGTCCCGAAAACCCTCATTAGAATGAAAGAAAGGCATACACATGTGATGGATGTTCAAAAAAATGATTCATTGAGAGAGAGAGAGATTGCAATATGGGATTTGGGAGAGCATAAGTTTACCATTGGCTAATGCTGATAAAACTGACAATGCTGAAAGAAGCAACACAAAATGGTTAGCCATGGTGAATAGGCTGTGAGCAATGGCAGATTCAGAGGCTAAAGATGAGCGCTATGTAAGGATGAGTATATATATGTGTGTGTGTGGGTGTGCATTGACTTCTAATCTCTGTTATAATATTGCCAATGCCAGAACATAGTTGACATAGTTTTTCATAGGGAATTTGGTGGTTGGTGACATTTTCACACATGGAGCAAGCTGATAACCCAACACCCATGTTCACTCACTTTCTGCTTACAAATTATTTATTTTTTCAAACATGCCAATACTCCAAATTTCAACTGGTCAAAAAACAAATAAAATAATATAAAGTTTTCTCTACTACTCCTTCATGATCATTATATTTATATATATATATATATATATTATATTTTAAGAAAGAAGCTACCTTCCATTCCAGCAATTAGACTTGAAGCTGCAGCTCACACTGTCTATTTCAGTAATCTCAATAGTTTATTTTTTAGTGTCCACAAAGTGAATTGTTTTAAAAAAATTAGATTGATCGGATATTATTAGTCACATAATTGAACCATATTTGTTTTTTTTTTAAAAATAAACGATTTACTCTTATAATCATACATAGCTTCGGTTTATCTCAAGACAAATACGATTTAATTGTATAACTACTGTTGTTCAATTATTATTATTATTTTTTTGAAATGATCCACTCGAAAAATATTAGAAAATTATTGGTTGAGATCACAAAAGTGAGCCCGGAGTTGGCTTACAGCCTATCAACTGGACCCTCCAAAAAGAGGGAAGTTGATCTTTCTTTTTTTTCTTTTTTAAATTACTATTGGCGACATAGGGGTAGAGAAAAGTGTATCAATTGTAACTGCAAAACATTAGGACTTGAAGACATTACAACCTAAACACAAATGAGCGAGTGAATCCACATTGTGATCGATCCTTTGGATTGCATTAACACAACTTAGCGAAAAGTTGACTCAGTAATTTGATGACCTCAGACGCTAAGAAAATATCTTATCTACCAGGGTCTCGTTTGGTAATATTATATTTTAGTTTAAAAGTGAAAAAATTATTTAAGAAGTCAAAAATTCAACAAACTATATAAAAAAGTTATACCAAATATATTAATTTTTTAACCTTATATTTTAACTAAAAAATTAAAAAATTATTTAAATAATTTATTTTCAAACGAGGTAAGCAATTGAAATTGAGTTAATATGACATCTTTCTTTTTTTTTGTAGGACTAGGTTTTTTTTTTAAAAAAAAATCAACATTGAGAGGTCTTATTGGATAGGAAGTGTAAGGATTCTAACTATAGCGATCCCGGTTTTCCTTTTTGTGCTTAACTGTAATCCGGATTCGATTTCGTAAGGGTGTTGTTGTCTTATCCTCTCTCTATCCCTTACTCTTTGTGTTCGAGCTTTGAGTTGTTGTAGACACCCCATTTTTGACCGTCCTCAAGACTTGGACGTCACCGTTTGAACACTCGGTGATTATCCATGTTTGTGTTCTCGAGCGGGGAAATCACCCATCCAGTATTTCGTCTGCAGCGGTAGACGCTCGAGCGGAGGATTGGCCGCTCGAGCGGGAGTTTGTGTCTGACGCTCGAGCGAGGAGTTTGACGCTCGAGCGGGAACCACGTCTGTAAAAGTTCTGGGAGTGTGCATCCGCCGCTCGAGCGGGAGATTGGACGCTCGAGCGAGGATCTGTGAGTGACGCTCGAGCGAGGATTTTGCCGCTCGAGCGGGGCGACTTTTATATAAAGCCGAGATCCGACCTTTTTGTTCACTTTTCAACATCCTTTCTCTCTCTTACTTTTCCAAAAAGCTATCTTGAGAGTTCCTCACACTAAAACCCTAACTTCTCTCTTAGGATTGATCTAGTAGGAGTTGTTTTCTCACCTTGGGCCTTTACAAAAGTTGTGTTGATCGTCGAGGGCTATCTTTTAATCTGAAAATTTTGGGATTTGGAGCATTTCCGTTTCTTCACCTCCTTCGTTGGGTCCAATTATTTGAGGTAGGGATAACCTACTCCATCTTATGAACTTTGTCTTTGAATTTTAGCATTTTGATATGTTGGGGGTTGTTGGGTAATTTTGAGAAAGTTTGGGCCTTTGTGAAATTTTACAAAAGTTGGGTTTTAGATATATAAACCTATATGCATGTTAGGCATAGAGAAATGAGATTAATGTCGGGACATTGATGGAAATGGAACCTTAGGGTTGTTTTGTGAATTACGGTAATTTACCCTAATTGGTTTAATTAATTAATGCATTTAATTAATTGAAGAAAACGAGGAATTGAATTGAGAATGTTGAAATTGGGAATGTATGAGACTAAAGAGTGTAGTCAAATCTTTTATTACTTATCTGGTTGAAATGTTGGTATATTATCCACTTGTGCATTTATTTCCTGCTTAGAAATAATTGCTTTGGGCTACCGGTGGAGGGTAGTGTTGATTGTTGTAGACAATGCATGATGATTAGGCAAACTAAAACTAATCAATTGGATGTGTCATAGAGTATGACGGTTGATAGAATACATTAACTTTATGTATCTGTGGATTGTGCATGTGACCAATGTGTTTATATGCATTATGTGTAGACGGTTGATAGAATACATTAACTTTATGTATCTGTGGATTGTGTATGTGACCAATGTGTTTATATGCATTATGTGTAGACGGTTGATAGAATACATTAATTTTATGTATTGATTGATTGCATATGTGACTTTGTGTTTATATGCATTACTTGTGTATGGGAGGAGATAGGAGATGTACTCCACGGTTTAGGGGAAGATGGGGGATGTACCTCTAAACCGGTTAATGGCTAAGGGGAGATGGGGGATGAACCCGGGGATGCAGCCCATATGCTCTCCCATCGTAGTGATGATACAGCTCATATGCTTATCTGTTGAAGTGTTGATACAGCTCATATGCTTATCTATTGGAATGTTGATATAGCTCATATGCTTATCTGTTGAAGTGTTGATACAGCTCATATGCTTATCTATTGGAATGTTGATACAGCTCATATGCTTATCTGTTGTAGTATTGATATAGCTCATATGCTTATCTGTTGAAGTATTGATATAGCTCATATGCTTATCTGTTGTAGTAGTGATATAGCTCATATGCTTATCTATTGAAAAGTTTGTTTGATTTGATATAGCACTAAAATGTATATCATCATTGTTTGTGAAGTGTGGAAGTAGTTTATGTGTTAGTGATACAACACCAAAATGTGTATCCACATTGGATTTCGAAAGTGTTCTAGTGATGAACTAGAATCTCATCAAATGTTTTGGCCAGAGTATTGAGCCTTGTTTTCAAACTCAAAGTTGAACAAAAAAAATGAAAAGTGAATTGTAACATAGACTTGGCTGTCATGGAATTTTAATAAGATGTAAACGGAAGTGTAGGTATTGACCATCTATCTGTTGCTAATCTTTTAGGCATTGTTCATAGTCGGTTTAGTATATTTCTACTGGACTGTGGCTCACCCTTTATGGGAACATCATTTTCAGGTACAGGTAGCATGCCACCTCTGAGGACATAGCTTGGGAGGCTAGAGACAGACATACTTTTGTTGCCTTATTCTTTCTTGATTGTATTTCATATAAATTTGAGCCTAGGACTTAATGTGTATTTAAGCTAGCACCCTCTTTTGTAACCAAGTGTTAACGTGGAGAGCTGTAAGCCCGTAAGGCATTTGCTTCTGTTGTAACCATGTAATACTTTTGTAATGAAATACTCTGATGAATAGATGAATGTGGACTTTTATGTATCAATGCATGTCTCAATATGGATGTGTTTAATGTTGTTATTCTGAGAGCGTTACACTAACCATTTGAGCCTTGGGAATATGGATTGGTTTTTTTAGTTTTTTTTAACTTTTGAGTATTTTTGTGCTTCGTTTGACATGTGCTTGTTTTAGTTAAAAGTCAAAAAGTTATTAAAAAATAAAAAAATCTAGAACATATATATCATCTATTTGGTAGAGCTAAGGAATCATAGTTCCACCCTTTGGTTTGTGTGTGGTATTTGGTGAGAACTTTCAACAATTGATTCTACACTCACTGTTGAAAACATGTCTATCCGGTCATCTTCCTGGATGTCCGGCCAGTTGACCAGAACAGTGTTCGTGTTTATTTATTTATTTATTTATATTTTTTAGCACCTGTTATTTTTATATTTTAAATAAAAAATATTTTCAGATTTTTTAAAAAAAATTTATGAGTTTTGAATAGAATTTTGGGTTATGTGTTTGGTTATTAGGTGTAAGTTTTTGAATCAAATATTATATGCTACATCAAAAATTTTAAACTCAATTCAAAACTCTTTTCAAAACTCATAACCAAACAAATTTTTTACACTTAAATCATAATTTCAAAACTCACAAATTCAAAATATAATTCTATTCTCAAATCATAATTATAAAACTCTATCAAATGTTAAGATTCCATTTTCTTTCTACTTTTTTGCACATTTTTTGGTAAAAAACCAAAAAATTATTCCAAACATACTAATTTTTTTACCTCATATTTTAGCCAAAAAAATAAAAAGCTACTAAAATAGCATGTTCCTAAATGAGACCTTAGTTTAGGACTAAAAAGTTTAGTTTAGAATAGACTTTTTGGATTTTTTGACTTTTGTGAGAAAAAAATGAACAATTATGGTTTGGATATAACATTTTTTCTTATTGATTTTTTAATTAATTTATTTTTTTTGTGACTAAAAGAGCCAAAAAAAACATGCCAAACATAGCCTGAGGCAACCTAACTGATTGTCTAAATTATTATTTTAACATTTGTTCTGCATTATTGACTTTGGCCAGAGGTTGTTTGGGATTATCTAAATAAGTATATTTTTTAAATTTTTATAAAAATATATAAAAAAAATAAAGAGATGATATAACCTAAAAAGATAAAAAGATAAAAAATGTACTTATATAATACATCTATTTATTTGGTTTTTTCTAGCCTTCTTTAATATAGAATCAACTGATCGGATTGCTTAAAGTAGACTTTTGCCAGGCAATGGAAGGTGTGATCTGAAGCGG